CAGTTCACCCAGTGGGGTTCCCATATGGGGGTCTCACTGATGCAGCCTCTAGAGCAGGCGTCCTCAAACTATGGCCCACAGGCCACATGTGGCCTGCTGAAGACATTTATCCTGTCGGGTGATTTTTTCCCCGTTTGGTTTTTTATTTCAAAATAAGATATGTGTAGTGTGCATAGGAATTTGTTCATAGTTTTTTTTAAAACCATAGTTCAGCCCTCCAACGGGTCAGAGGGACAGTGAACTGGCCCCCTGTTTAAAAAGTTTGAGGACCCCTGATCTAGAGCATGCCATGAGCCCCGAAGATCCAGGATTCAGTGTCCCAGCATTCTCTGGCACCCGGCCTGGTTTCCTGGGATACCCCCAGATGCCCTAGGTCAATTCTGCCCATCCACCGTACACCACTAAAGACATTCCCCACCTAATGCTCCCAAGAGCATCCTCATTGTACACCCTTCCCCCCACAATGTCCGCCCTCCCTTTTCTCCCCTCAACAGGCATGCACCTATGTTCCCCCAAATTTGACCATTCCCGTTCTTCTTTCCTATGCTGTCCCTCCCATCAGAAAGCCTGACAGGGTGGATTCCCTCTCTGGGAGACCTCACCCAAAATCCACATGGTTACCACTCAGGGAACAGCATCAACCCCACCCTACCCCACCCTATCCATTTGAATCCAGCTGTCATGAGGTGACCTTTGGCCAAGTGACCTACCTACACTATACAGTACTTACTTTGAGCAGATGCTGTGTGGCTCATTGGCACTGGTCCAGCTCTTTGGCAGGCTGTCTGGTCCCCAGCCAGAAGACTGGATGGCCTGCAAGCTTGAGTTTGTGCCCGTTCTGCTGCTTGTTCTTACCGCAGTGGACACATACAATATTTGTCCATTCGTGCTTGACTCACTTCACTCAGCATAATGTCTTCCAGATCCTTCCACAACTTGAGGTGCTTCATTGCTGTTTTTAGGGATGTATTCCATTGTATGTATGTACCAGAGTCTTTATCCACTCTTGTACTGATTTTAATGTAGGCTGTTTCCAGCTTCTTCTCACCCGCCCCCCAACAGCCCCAGCTTCTTGTTACTATGAACTGTGCTGTGATGACCATGGAGGAGCAAACATGTGTTCGTGATCTGCTTCTTATTTCATTTGGGTATATGCCCAGTAATGGTATTACTGGATCTTATGGTAGTTCAATTGCCATCTGTTTTAGGTATCACCATACCACCTTCCAGAGTGGCTGTACGTAGGTACAAGTCCACCAGCAGAGGGTAAGAGTTCCTATCTCACCACACACTCTCCAACATTTGTGGTTCTGTTTCTTTTTTAAAAATCATTTTGTTGGGGTCTTCTACAACTTATCACAATCCTTCCATCCATCCATTGTGTCAAGCACATTTATTCATTTGTTGCCATCATAATTTTTAAAACATTTTCTTTCTACTTGAGCCCTTGGTATCAGCAACTCATTCTCCCCTTCCCCCCACCCCATCCTCCCTCCCTCACATTCTCAGTTTTTGTAATTGGGCTAGTTATGGGCATTAGGTGGTATCTTATGGTCATTTTGACTTGCATTTCCTGGGTGGCTAGTGACAGGGATCACTTATCATTATACCAGCATCAGACTGTTTTGACAACTGTGGCTGTATAGTAGGTTTTGAGGTCAAGTAGTGTAAGATCACCTGCTTTGCTCTTTTTCTTGAGGAGTTCTTTGCCTATCCTGCGTTTCTTCCCTTTCCATATGGAGTTAATAATCAGTCTTTCCAATTTTTTGAAGAATGATGTTAGAATTTGGATCGGCAATGCATTGAATTTGTAGACTGTTTTAGATAGTATTGACATTTTCTCAATACTGAGTCTTCCGATCCATGAACACAGAATATACTTCCATTTGTGCAGATCCCTGTTGGTTTCTTATAGTAATGCTCTATAGTTTTCTTCGTACAAGTCTTTTGTTTTTTTGGTTAAGTTTATTCCCAGGTATTTCAGCTTTTCCAAAGGATACGGATTCCTTGATATCTTTTTCTGTATCCCCATCCCTGGTATATAGGTATCCAACTGAATTCTTTGTTAATCTTGAATACTGTTACTCTACTAAACTCCTCTATTATTTCCAGCTATCCTCTTGTAGATCCTTTAGGATTCTCAATATATAAAATCATATCATTTGCAAATAGTGAAGTTTCACTTCTTATAATGAGATTCTTGAGGCTCTCGCTATATGTATTTTCAACTTGTCTTTTCAGAAAGGTTGTAGGGATTTACTCTGTTTTCAAGATTTAATTCCTTTATGCTACTTTTCTAGCTAAAGCAGATTTATAAAAAACTATGAAATTCCATGTTCTTTCCCCCCAGGTTTCCTGGCTATGTGTGTGGTAGTGTATGTCTCCATATACTTAAGTTGCTGTTCTAATATTCCCACTATGCACTGCCCACTCACCTGCTCTTTCACCTGGGGACCAGTCTGATCCATCTTCAGTGTCAGCAAATGAATGGGTACTTGACTTTTCTCATTTTGAGTCTTGTGGGCAAAGGCCTCCTCACCCAGTTGAAGGATCCTATGGTTGAGCTGAGACAACTGATCCTTATATTTTTGACTCTAGAGCAAAAAAGGATAAAACAATGATAGAAAACAAAAATAAAACCCCAGCAGATCCTTTCAGTGGTTAGTTAGTTAGTAATTTTGTCTCACTGTGGGACATGGCAACATCTGGAGGCATTTTTCATTGTCATAATTCAAGGTAGGGGTGGCTACTGACATTTAGGAATGCTACTAAATATCCTGCAGTGCACAGGACAGCCCCTATACAGCCTTATCCAGTCTCACACAGCAATGATGCTGAAGTTGAGAAATCTGCTTTATTCCTGAGAAGTGAGAACACATCTGTAAGGTGACCAGACGTCCCACTTTTGGTGGGACAGCCCTGATTTTTAACAATTTGTCCCGCGTCCCGCGGCGTTTTAAAAAAGTCCTGATTTTTGGAAAGAATGCACGACAAG